CGTAGCAAGACGAGGTTGCCCTGCAGTCATCTACTCAGATAATGGGACGAATCTAGTTGGACTCCGGAACGAGCTTTATCGAGTTAATTTTGGAGTGAAATGGAAGCTAAATCCTCCGGCAGCACCGTGGTGGGGAGGTTGGATCGAGAGAATTGTTGGACTCACCAAAAAACTGCTTCGAAGATTGCTGGGAAAACGTGTTGTCAACTACGAAGAAATGGTGACGATCCTCGAAAACTGTGAACGAGTTATCAACGCGCGACCACTCACCTACATTGCTGAGGACAATGATGATCTTGTGCCATTAACCCCAGAGATGTTTCTTCGAGAACCAAGAGCTGAAGGAGAAATTGATCTAAATGAATTCAGGTGTAACTTTGGGAAGAGCTATGAGAAACGCAAGCGACTCCTGAAGGATTTCCGTAAGAGGTTCAGAAGCGAGTACCTAGGATTGTTGGTGCATCACGACAATCGCAAGAAACAACGACAGTTAAAAGTTGGAGATATCGTCCTTGTGGAGGTTGAAAACAGGAAGCAAATAAACTGGCCTATGGGAAAGATTACGAAGGTGTTTCCTGGAACTGACAATGTGCGAAGACTTGTGGAAGTTAAGACTAAGTCTGGATTCATGAAGCGTGCAGTGCAACGATTGTTCCCACTTGAAGTACCATCTGAGGACGTAGAGCAAGGCGACGGGGAGCTTAAGCCAGCGGAGGATGAGATCGTCAGGGAGAAAACACCCGGTGTGGAGTCCGTGTCAGTGCAAGAGAAAACTACCCCAGTAAAAGTAGGGAAAGTTTACACGCGTTCTGGAAGAGAAGTCAAGTTACCGACTAGGTTTAATTGAAGTTTGTTTTTTTAATTAATATTGACCTTATAGCAAAGTTCAAAAGGTCAAGGTGGGAGAGTGACACGAAAATAGGTATTTTTTGGGCCAACCGACGCTGACGACAACACTGGCCAGCCGACGCCCGCGCATGCGCGAGCAAGAACAAAAGACTTAGCCCTAAAACTTCCGGTAAACAAAGGCTGCTTTTCGACTTAACGTTTGGTTTTGACGGGCCAGAAAAGGAACTATCCCTTCGTAAATTTTAATAATTGTTTTTGAATAACATTTGTATTGATATTAATTTGTGTGATTTTTTAAAATAAATATTTCTTACAATAAGCATTAATTCTTCATCACTGTTTACTAACTTAGGCCTCGTCATTCAACGTTGTGACACTTCTGATCCCTGCAACAAAGGTATTGATTTACCAATTTATAATTTTCAAATCAGTTTCCAGCATTACTGTAAAGCTAGGAACGTTTAGTTCAGGTTAAGCCATCGGGACCTTGTATTGTCTTTCTTTTTTTCAAATCTAAGATAAAGACAACAAAAGGATTGATTGGTTAACTACGCATATCTGAAAGTCTTTCTAAAAACGATGATAACAAAAAAATAAAATTATCAATGAATAAAATAAAGTATATATTTTTTAAAATATAGAAATATTTGAGGTTTTTAGATTATATAATATTTTTAGATTATATAATATATATAGAAGCATAGGGCGCCTCTCCCGTCAAAATAAACGCCAAAACCTGACGCCATCTAATAAAGTCCGTCCTAGATTGACGAGGGCCATTAGCCCGAAACCATGGTCTCTAGGTGGACGCTTCTCAGTTTGCCAAAGCTGGTGTTGTGGCTTTGTCACCGACCCGAGGCCGCTAGTTGCGGCGACGGTAAATAGATGGCGTCAGGTTTTGACGTTTATTTTGACGGGAGAGGCGCCCTATGCTTCTATGGATCAATTATTTCCAGGCAAATTTTCCATTTATATATAAATATATAAAACTCGATTCAATATGAATCAAGTATGAATAAAAAATATATATTGTGAATGAATTAAATATATTTTGTTAATTGGAAATATCTTATTAGAAGTATGTTTGCAGCAATGATGTCGTTGAAATCAATTTCAGCATTAAGAACAGAATACCAGGCGATGCTACAACATACATGTCCATCAATAAGGTCAGGAATCAAGACAAAGTTGTCAAATAACCAACGGAATTCTTTGATTCCCTTGATTTTTGACAGTCACCTCACAGTTTAACATTGAAAATTGGCTTGTCTACCATACTTGCGGTAAATATCAATCCATCACAGATTCACTACAGTACAAGATAATCATCGGTAAGTAAGATGATGAGCAATAGAAGAAGATTTACAAGTCGGGAAGAAGAGTTTATCTATATAAGAAAATGATGGTACAAGTTTTCGGGCAATACGCTTCTTCTACGGTTACAGAATGACACGATTGGCAATGGTTTATGTTGTGTATTTGCATACTTGGGATATTTGCAGAAATGCAAATATCCTCTTTGGATTCTCATTTCTGACTTCATTTATAAAAAGCGCTACATCTGAGTCAGTCAGTCCATATTGTAGAAGTTGGTGTTCTAATAAATTCTAAGAGAATGTAGTGGCCTGGTAATGACAATCCACATAGAGGCAACGCAACAGTTTATAAATATACTTTCACTAGCCGAATGACCCGGGCAACGCCCGTGTTTTACCCGATTGAATGTTTTGATTCAAATACTATTTTTACAATTATAAATTGGCGCCTTAAATAAATGCATATATTAGTTAATAACTATAGCCTATGTGCTTTATCTGTCTATGTACTGTTGGCTTCCGTAGGCGTCTCTTACTGGAAAAATGAAAGAGAGGATTCCATTTAGTTATTAACTAATATATGCATTTATTTAAGGAGCGACCCGCTCCAACACAATAGTTACAAAAACCAAAAAGCGAGTGGGGGGGGGGAAGGTGGCGTGATCGTAGCCAACCAATAGGAGAGCTCCATTCCAAAAAAAAAAAAGCAAACGATGACAGAGATGAAGAATTAAGAACGCATGACGCTCGTAACTGTATATAGAATGACAATTTCTTGATAAAAGTGTATATTGTTGCATCAATTTTAATGCGCCCTACATTTATTCAAAATATTCTATGATATTTAATACTTATTTAAAACAGATTATTTAGTACATCATTATCCCTTTTTAAAATACAAAATAACGCGGCTGATGAGTGTAAAACGAAAATTCAATTATACCGCGAATGTTTCTTCTAAACAAAAATCGAAATTTATTTTAAAGAGAAATAGCGTTTATTTTAACTTTAAGGATGAAGTATGATAGGATGAATTGTGAAGAGTAATGAAAAACGGAAAAATAAAAGAGTAGCGGAACACAGTGGGTTCGTTTCCCATCCCTGGACACTTTTATTTTTCCGTTTGTCATTACTCTTCACAATTCATCCTATCATACTTCATCCTTAAAGTTAGAAATAAACGCTATTTCTCTTTAAAATAAGTTTCGATTTTTGTTTAGAAGAAACATTCGCGGTATAATTGCAATTATCCCTTTTTATAGTTTCATTCCTTTTGTAATATTTTATTGTATATATATCTTGATTGGTTATTGGGGAGCGAAAGAGGACCTAGTCTGCGGATCAGGACCTACGAGGAAGACAACAAATAAATAAACAAAATAACTTTAAAAGGTAATTTATTTTTAGTTACTTTTCTTTATTTAATTTGTGTATGGAAACCCGCTCGGGAAACGTGTATAACACCAAAAAGGAGGAAACCGAGGTCGACGACCTTGCAAAGCTGCAACTTGTGTGTGGTGCAACAATATATATAAACCATTGCAACACTAGTGTCATTATATAACCGTAGAAAGGCGTCTTGCCTCCGAAGCTTGTACGATCATCCTCTTATAAAAGGAGCTTTTCTTCCCGACCTGTGCCTCTTCTCTATAGCGAATTGGGAGGGTATCGATGTTATGATAAACAACGTCATCAAAACTACAATTTAGAATGGGAAATTCAAGAAGAAGGATGTAATATTGCCATATATTCCACTGATCTCAACAGATATACCATTTGTATTCAAATGTTCGCTGTTTCCTGTTGTTATTGTTGTCGTGTCCAATGAAGAGCCTCAGATGTCTCTATACATCTCTATCACCTCAGCAGCAATGTCCACTATCTTGGGTGTGTGAAGCTGCTGCTTCCTGTGTGAATAGCATCAAATGTATGGAGTAGATTTGGTGATTCTGTGCTTTTTTTATCACATGGATGACTTTATGTGCTAGCTCACGCGTCGGAAAACCTTCTGATTTATTCGTATACACACCAGACTGAAAAAAAAAATGTTTATCCACAAGCACTCAAATAAATATCGACATTTGAATCGATTTCCATATTTTCTGTTTCTTAGATCGCAGTAACGTGCGACTGGTAATCTAGTTTAATATATAGATTGTATATGTCTGGAAATTTTCTTAATATACAGTTAAACCTGTCTATACCGCCCCCTCTAAATAGCGCCTTCCTCTCTATAGCGCCGATTTTAAATACGTAGTACGATGCGATTTACATTAAAAGTGACCTCTCTATAGCACCCCCTCTCTATAGCACCCTATTTTGGTGAGTCCCAAGAGGGGGTGCTCAGACAGGTTTAACTGTATATATATGTTATTTAAAATTATTTTATTTTAAAATTATAAATTTTAGAACAAACTAGTTTGTAAGGTCAAACGCCAGATGTCGCGGTTTTCCCTATATAAAACTCATTGTTGTTGTTTCCCGTTGGCCGGCTCAAATCTTTTTGTAATTATGCAAATACGTCTTTTGTTTTCTTCATTCTTCACGCCTTATGTCAGGTAGTACTTTCTAAAATTATGCATTCTATATTTCATAAGCTCGATGAAACAAACTATCAAATATTGATATAAACTTTTTTTTAAATATTATTTTTACTCACTACTGCAAGCAATATCATAATTATATTCCGAAACATGAAAGTAATAATTCTATATCTCAATAATTCCAAAATCAGCAGAAATATTTTATATAAGATATAAATATTCTATAAAACAAATAAGCCACATTATATTGTATTATAAATTAACTCATATAATATTTATGAACGGAAAATATGTCCAGTTAGCCTAATAGACATGGCATCTTTTCGGTAAGCAGAACACTGTGGGTTCGATTCCCATACCGGACACTTTTATTTTTCCGTTTATCATTTACTCTTCACAATTCATCCTTTCATACTTCAACCCTAAGGTTAGAAATAATGGTTATTTCTCGTTAAAAATAAATTTCGATTTTTCGTTTAAAAGAAATACATGCGGGATAATTTTCAAATGCAGCACAGATGTCCTTTATTAAGGCTAGTGGGCAGAATCCAACCACAGGATCCTCACTAAGGTCCGTCGTCTCTTTACTTCCGGTGGCGCTTCTCAGAGAGGTCTGTCAGACAGAAGGCCAGGCTGTTGGCCATTCCGACTCCGACAAGGTCAGTCTGGGGCGGTTGGCGATCTGGAAGGGGAGGTTGAATCCAAAATAGCCCTTATCTTGAGCTTCATAGCCATGTGAGATTTTCTAGCCAAAGGGGTTAAACGCGAAAAAAAAACGTAAAATCTAGGAACGAAGCGATTAATGATGATAAAGGTTATTTAAGTTATTTTCAAATGTCGTTTTACAAATTTCATCAATATTTATTTCGTATTAAAAAAAATCTTATTCGTTTATTAAACTGTGTTAATAAAATCAAGAAGGAAAATATAAAGTTAGGCTTCTATCTAACAGGACGACAAAGATGTTCTAGAAAAGGGTAAATTTTCATCTCGAGGATTGTTCAACCATAAAATAAAGGTAGATATTGAGTGGGGTTTTCAGGCGTGAAATCAAGGCTGCTGAGAGAGATACATTACCAAACAATAGATTCATTGATGGAATGAAAATTATTGGAACCGTTCTTTAAATAAACCCCTCTTCTCAATATTTAATAAACTTTTTCAATATTTTAATAGTTATGTGGGGAACTAAATATAAATGTATATATTTATTGATTAAAACTACATGTAAGAAACATTGCTTCGAAGTTGGAAGAGAAATTAAACAATTTCTAATAATTCGAGTCAAAAGGCGATCCATTAATTAAGTTTATATAAAAGAGCGAACCTGGATCTGTAAAGAAAAATATATATATATTTCAAAATATTTCGAGAGATTGCTTCCTCTTTATCAATTTATTGCACGTAATTTGCTTATTGTATTGCGTAATATTGCACGTTATTGCACATTTCGTGCAATAAATTGATAAAGAGACAGCAATCTCTCGAAATATTTTGAAAATATTTTTTTTTCTTTACAGATCCAGGTACGCCATTTTATATAAATTTCTAATAAATTTCGAAAATAGTTTTAGAAATAGATACCATAACTACAGCCATTTACGTTATGTAATTAAAGTTTCGATTACGTCATATTTTATTGTATTGCCATTAAAAAATGAAAAGAAAAAGATGGGCTTTAAAGATTATCTATTTATTCTCTCTATATATATAATTAAAAAATAAATAATTATTTTGACTAATCCTTTCAGCTATATGTGGTATATAAATCTATAAATTGTGTGTAAATATGCAAATAGGTATATTTAAATATTTATAACTATTATATTGTATCAGGTATTTGAAAATTAAGAAAGAAAAACCTCAGGATGACATGGCAATTTATTTAAGTCGAAAGAGAGAGAGAGAGATTGAGATTGAAAATGATTTATTATAACGTCCATATAAGATTATATAAGGTTAAATACATAAAATGAATAAATAAGAGAGAAAGAGAAGATGCAAATTAAAATTTATAAACTATCAGAGAAGCAATGAGGCAAGTTTATAGATTAGAAAACTATATAAATATCAACATTAATAATCTATTCGTAAAATAATAAATATCTCGCTACAATAAATATCAAAATGACAAGAGATTTTGAATTAAAGCAGATATTGTATCCATAATGGATAAAGCTAAATTAATATCTGTATTGATTTGGGGATTTCTTTTTTATTTTGAAAGAGAATAGGTTCTTAATGAATTATATGGCTCTATGGTCAATCTCCTGAATTTGAAATTGATTCCTGAATATAAAAATGATCGCTGATTAAAAAAAAAGGTTTTATAATGTTTTTAGTATAATATAATCGCTTAAGATTGCATGATGTATATAATCAATACAATAAAAATATTGGCGAAAAATATGTTTCTTTAAAAATGCATAATTTCAAAGCAATAAAACTAGGCATTTTGAACAATTGTACGAAATATAATCTATGTATTAATAAGTCAACGTATTATATATTTTTTCTTATACTTTTCCTTAATATTTGAACAATTTGGCTGAAATTTTAGCAGTATTTAGAGTAATCTCTTGGAAGAGGTTTTGTCGCATTCTCTACCATATAAAAGTGAAATTAATCGAGTAATTCTACTTGGTACTATAGTACTCTATAGTACTTGGAAAACATAATTTAGAATAATTAACAATAAACATATTTCTTTATAGAACGATATTTGAGCGGACAGTTGCAGAGAGTGGAATTACCGATAACCGACTGCCCTCACTGAATCAGGGCTTGTGCTCATATGTACAATCATAGAAACTTCCTTGTAGGGAATAGAGGTAAAACCTATTTACATAGCGAACAAGTACATTAAATATTTTAACATACATAACATGTTTTGAAAATAGAACAATCCATAAATAAATCTTTAATTAAAAAGGCATATATTCGATCAAAATATATTGTTTTATTTGCAATATTTGTTGTTGACACACATTAAATATGTTATAACACCTTGCTAAAGGTTGGCGTGCAGCCAACTGAAACATTGGTAAAATAAATTATATTTTCTCCAATATATGCTTTTTTAATTAAAAATACATAACAGCTACATTTACATTTCAAGGAATTTAATAATATTTTATTTCATCAATAAAAATGGTTATTTAATTGGAATAAAAGATTTAAAAAACATAGAATTTTATAAGATAAAAATGTTAAATGTGACATATATTGAGAAATCATTATTCCATTACAATACCAATAGTATTGAATCCTATCAATAAAAAATATCGAAATATATAAATATATGTAAATATATATATTTTCCTTATCACTCAAAATATTCCTAAATATTAAATCAATAAATGATTTTATCTCTAGAGTTAATATTCAGAATCCAATTTTTAGTTTATGTTTTCATCGTGTAAATCTATATTATTAATTGTTATTTCATCTATTTGTTTGTTTTACTTATCCTTTATCTATATATCTGATTTATTTAATGAAATAAAAATAAAACTTACCTATAAATCATCAAGAAACTAATCAATTGAATTCATATTATTTCGACATATATTTGGTTGATGAGTAGTGTTACCTTCCATTGTATTTAATTCATCCCGTTTGTGATTTGTTCAAATTGATTCATCAACAGATCCCGTTTGTGATTTGTTCAAATTGATTCATCAACAGATCCCGTTTGTGATTTGTTCAAATTGATTCATTAACAGATCCCGTTTGTGATTTGTTCAAATTGATTTATCAACAGATACAGTTTGTGATCTGTTTAGTATTCTTTTCTTGGATTGATCAAATATAAATCTCCGAGGATAAGTTTATTCATTTATTTATTCTTTATAAATTCTTTTCTTGGTTAAGAGAGAATGACAAATTGATACCATATACAAAGACAAAGATTAAACAATTCACGATAGAATTCTGTATATAGCGCTCACACAGATAAATTAATTATTGGATTAAGTTCATGATTGATTGATTGATAAATTAATTCCCTATTTAATCCTTGAATATACAATTTATAAAAATATTCCATGTAAAGTTGAGAAAATAAACAATTATATTGGGTTAGATTGATGAACTATTGAGTATTTTGTTTATAGATGATTGAATGATGGATCACTTTCCTCATTCATTTCTGGAATATGCAAATAAGAATTTATTCTGTTCGATGATTGGTTCATTTTTTAAATGAAATTGATTGATATTCGGTTTTGTTTACCGTATTAGGTTATCATCAATCAATCAATTGTTAAATGTGATATTTGTGATTACGTAACGATTGGATAATTTGATTTATCAGATTCGCTTATTAGATTGGTGATTGAATTTATATCCAGTGTAAGTTTGATAAATTAAAAGTCTGATTCCATATCCAAGTTTGTGTTTGTGAGGTTGATAAATTCATATATATATATTCCATATCCAGTTTGGGGTTTGATCAAATCATATATATTTTGTTTGATCATTTCATAAATTGATTCATACCCAGTTCATCTTTGTTCAATTCATATATTGTTTCCATATTCAGTTTGGGGTTTGATCATATATATATATTCCATATCCAAAGTGGGAATTTTTATCAATTAATATATTGACTCCATATTGAGTTTGATCATTTCATATATTGATCCATACCCAGTTCGTGTTTGTTCAATTCATATATTCATTCCATATCCAGGGAGTGTTTGATATATTTATATATTGAATGCATATCTAGTGCGGGTATGATCGTTTATTATATTGATTCCCTACACACTTCGCGTTGTATCAATTCATAGATTGACTCCATATCCAGTGTGAGTTTTATAAAATCATATATTGATTTTTAATACCCAGTGTGAGTTTTATAAAATCATAGATTGATTCCATATCCAGTGATTGTTAGATCAATTCATAGATTGATTCCATACCCAGTTTCGTTAGATTAATTAATTTATCGATTCCATTCCAGTTTCCTTTGATCAATTCATATATGGATTCCATATCCAGTGCGCATTTGTTAGAGCATGGATTAATATCACATTGAGAACGCGTTTGATAAATAATTTGCTTCCATATCCAGTGCGAAGTTGATAAATTCATATTTTGATCACATATCAGGTTTGTAATTCCTTTTATTATATTGTATCAAGAGCTCTGTGAACACAATTTAATTCTATTCAAGTTATTCCAAAAATGACGATTCTCTTCCAATAGTTGAGATAAGCAATAAAATAAATGCCATTATTGTCATGAAGCCTGGTAACCTCACAAAACACTTTCATATAAATATATATATAAATACACCAATACCTCGCTTTGCGTCGTTTCGTTTTGCGTTTTTTTCGAAGTTGCGTCGCTGCTTAATTTT